TTTTTGGTACCAGAGACTGAACTCAGGGGTACTCAACCACTGAGCCACATCCCCATCCCTATTTAGTGTTTCATTTAGAGACAGGTTCTTACTGGGTTGCTTAGCGCCTTGCCATTGCTGAGGCTGGCTTTGAACTCGAAATTCTCCCGTCTTAGCCTCTCCAGACGCTGGGATTATAAATGTGCACCACTGTGCCTGGCTAAAATCACACATTTTTAAAAAGTGCACAAAACAGTAAGAACTAATAGCTAAGATGAGTGAGATAAACTTTGAAATATCAATACCAATATAATATGAAAATATGAATTCTATAGAAGAAAAAGTCATAGGCATTGCTAATACTACTGTAGACAGCCTATGTTAATAACTAAAATAAATGCTAAATTTTAGTTATAGGAAAGAAAAATTAAAATTTTGCCACTTAACCCCTCAGACCTTTGGATTCTATCCTTGGACTCCAGGGTCAAGAACTCCTGAGCCAAGCGAAATTCTTTGTCAAGATTTTTGTCTTTCACATGCAAAGCCTTTTGAAATCACCACTATCTTTTTTTTTGGGGGGGGTATGATAGTCAACCACATTATGAATTCGAAGAACTACATTCAGATTTTCCTCTTAAATAAATGCTCTAAGTCAGAGGAAATATGATTATCCAAGTTTAATTACCTTTTGGAGTTTCTTTAGACACTCAGAAATGTAGAGGGTGATATATATCAAGGTCCTATCAGCTTCATTCTATGGGGGGAAAACAAAATCTTCATTAAAACAACAAAAAAACCATAACAACCATGTATATACAGCCTTTGCCTTTTGATTACCTACTGAAAATCCTGACAATATAGTTACCATAGCATCAAAAAGTGTCATTTTCCAAATACATGCATGGTCTTTCAAGCTCCCTTGGGCAGGAGCCACTGGCTTCCATCCTGAGCTGTGGGGCTACCCTTGTTTTTCTCAGCTGCTACAGCTGACGGCCTAGGTTCCTGAGGAGCTGTGCCAACAGCCCCTCACTCTGCGTAGGAAGGAGGATTAACAAAGCTGCCTGGAAAACCTGAGGCACACCATATGGCTGGCTAATTGTTTAAAAGCCTTTCACTTGAGGATTTCTGCTGAGGACAGAAACACTCATTACTCAGAAGAAGGAAGCAATTATTTCACATCTGACATGTTCTTGAAGAACTCCAGAAGCCTAACATCTTGTCCTAAATGAGAAGAAAATGTGAAGACAACAGCTATTGATCAAATGTGGCATGTACCGTAGGCCAAACTTCACAAAGATTTATTAAAACAACAACAAAACTAAAGCTATATATTTCCCTTTTTTTTAAGACCATATATTTGATGATGAAATATGCGAAATGTGGCAGAATTACAATATTTATTCACACCTCGTAAAAATACAATACTTAGACGTGCATTAGATATTGAAAATACATTGTCAATATCACAGGATGTTCAGACAATTTGTATGTAGATCAAGACCCCATAAAAGATTCCATATCCTGTTTGATTCCAAAAGTAAAAGTTTGGCAAGAGGTTAAAGTTACATATTTTAGGACACTACCAGGAAAATTCCTCACCATTTTTTGTAACTTGCTCAAGAACTGTCCCTGCCTCCGACTCTCGTTAATTGGGGATTAAACCCAGGGCCCCCTACCACTGAGCTACATCCTAGCCTTTTCTATTTCATTTTTGAGACAGGGTCTCTCTAACTTCCCCAGGCTGGCCTCAAATCTGTAATCCTCCTGCCTCAGTCACCTGAGTGTCTGGGATTACCATGTACCATCAAGCCCAGCTATATAATTTTTTAAAATTTCCCCTCTCCTTTTCTTCTACTCCTCTCTACTTTTTCCTTGACCATCCTCTTCATGGGAACTGAGAGCAGAAAAGGAGAGAAGAGGGGTCAGGAAAGCAGGCGAGGGTTATTCAAGTTTCTTTACTTCTCAATATCAAGTCTATGACACAAAAACCCAAGTTAAGCGTCCTTTATCAAAAATGTTTGGGCCCAGAAAAACGTTTCATATTCTGGAGTGTTTGGAATTTTGTAGTATTTGCAGACTTTACCAGTTGAGCATTCCTAATCTAAAAACCCCAAATCTGAAATGCTCAACCTGTATATAAAAAAATAATAGGCTGTGTCTAGTGGCACACGCTTGTAATCTCAAGTGACTAGGGAGGCCAGAAACTTAGTGAGGCCCTAAGCAACTTAATAAGACCCTGTCTCAAAAAAAAAAATTTAAAAATGGAGCTGGGGATGTAGCTCAATGGCAAAGCATCCCTGTGTTCAATCCCCAGTACCAAAAAAAAAAGCATTTAAGGCCTTTAGATTGTGGATGGGTCCTACACAAATATAGGGCTGGCACATAACAGATTCTTAATTAATGATGAATAAAAAAGATAAGTCCAGACCAGGGGTTGGGAAGTCTTTTCTGAAAAGGTCTGATAGTAAACATTTTTTGCATTTTGGCCTATGCAGATTTTGTCATAACTACTCAACTGCTATTGTGGTAGGAAAATAACCACAGACTGTATGCATACAAATGTACGCTGCTGTGTCCAATTAAATTTTATTTACCAAAAGAAGTTGTGTGTCACATTTGGTCCTAAGGTTATGGTTTGCCAACACCTGATACACACTTTGGGGAAAAAAAAGGAAACTAATATTTATACAGAGTCTACCATTAGGTACTATTCTGTAATTTTTAAATCACAATCTCATTTTATTTTATTTAGTCCTCACAGCAACCCTAACTGCAAGGTAGATATTATCCACATCAAAAAAGTGAGTTAAACTACAAGCACTGTAATTTACCTTAATTTCATAGTTCTTGAAGAAGACATTGGCCTTGAAGTAATAGATGGCTTCATCCACAATATCTGTATCTTTTGCTAATCAGGAAGGGAGGAAGGTAGAGAATATCAGCAGCCAAGTGCAAACCATAACACCTATAAAAAGCTATAAAGAAACCCTCACCACACTTAAGTCCCAAGTGTCCTGAAGTTGAACAAAATAAAATGAGGTTACTGAAATTGTCTTAAAAAACTTGTTCTAGAAAAACAAGTACAAAACTTTTTTGGGGGTCATTTTTGTAAAACTTATGTACACTCATTAGAAAAAGAATTCAATTAAGGGGCTGGGACTGTAACTCAGCGGTAGACCACTTGCCTAACAAATGTGGGGCCCTGGGTTCAATCCTCAGTACCACATATAAATAATGATGTCCAATTACAATTAAACAAGTATTTAAAAAATAATTCAATTAATACAAAAATATATTTTTAATTATCACCCCAAATCCCCGATACATAGAAACAACTACTATTAACATTTAGTGAACATCATTCAAAGCCTCTCTCAATGCATTTATAGAAAAAGACTGAGATATAGGTTAACTTTAACAAAGTGTTTTTTTTTTTTAAATAAAAGGTATTCAATATAATTTTTACATAGTGTAGTTTCAGAGGAAAAAACACTCAATTATTTCAAATTTGTTGGGATTCAGACATATATCTTTCTTTTTATAAAAACTATGACTTGGGGCTGGGGATGTGGCTCAAGCGGTAGCGAGCTCGCCTGGCATGCGAGCAGCCCGGGTTCAATCCTCAGCACCACATATAAACAAAGATGTTGTGTCTACCGAAAACTAAAAAAAATTAAAAAAATTCTCTCTCTCTTAAAAAAATAATAAAAAAAATAAAAAAATAAAAATAAAAACTATGACTTAGCTGGGCATGGTAGTGCATGCCTGTAATCCCAACTTCTCAGGAAGCTAAGGCAGAAGGATCACAATTGTGTTCAAGGCCCACCCTCAGCAATTTAGGAGTACCCAGTCCCAAATTAAGAAATAAAATTTAAAAAGGTCTGGGGATGTAGCTCAAGCCCCTGGGTTTAGTCCCCAGGAAGGCAAAACAAAACAAAACAAAACAAAACAAAAACCCAAAACCCCAAAATGATGACTTAAATGTACTTGGGGGCTAGGAGTTTTCAGTGGTAGAGCTCTTGCCTGGCATGCACAAGGCTCTGGGTTCAATCACTAGCCCTGGGCGGAGAAAAAGCTGTTGGACAAGGCTACAGACTGAAAAAAGACAGAAATACTGCTGTGACAGAGACAGATGTCATTACACAATTTCTCTGGCAGTTTTGGTTCTCCATTTTTTTTTTTTTTTAATTTTAAAAAGGTCAAAATACCAGGGTCTTGATATCCGGCAGCTGGTTTCAGTAATGCCAAGACACTTATTTATACTTCTTGTCCATGATTGTTATCCCTCACAAACAGAAATGCAAAGTAACCTCAAAGCTTTAATTCTCTGCAGTTCAGCTGTCTTTATCCCCGTTTATTCCTCTGTTGAAGAATTTCAATGGAATTCCAACTCTAGACTTATATTCCCTGCAATCTATTTTCTTAGGAAAAGGAATTTTCCTCAGAGAATGCAATCAGCTAGTTCTTCTAAACACAATGATAGGAGGTGGTGGAAGTGAAAATGATTCAGAATCTAGAAGAGTGCTTGGCATATAAAAGGCACTCCAAAGCTATCTGCTGAATATAAAGAAATCTGTGTATATGTGGGATGCTAGGGATTGAATACAGGGCCTTGCTAAATACATGCTCTAACACTGGGATAGGACCCCAGCCTCACAATTAATTAATGTTAAATTACTTAGCTCACAACACAGGCTTTCACTCTAATTTAGTATTAATCTAGTCCTTTTAGGAAGAGAAACAAGGTCACCCCTCAATTTATCTGGTTTCTTAGGGTCTCAATCTCCCTTGAGGGCCCAAGAATTGCAAAGGTGGTAGATTTATTCCATCCTTGTTCTACTGTACCTTCTGATATACTATATGGTATTTGTAACCATGTAGAAAGTGTTCTCAAGACATCTGGGCCAACATTGATTCTTATGCTTTCTTTGCAGTGTAATTTTTTTTATATTATTAGTCGTCTTCTTGTGTCTTTTTCCATCTGTTCTTTTTTTTCTCAGAATCAAATAAAAACCATGGTGACTCACCAAATTTATTAAGTTTACTTAGCTTTCAACTGGTGTTGAAAACAGAATTAAATTAAGAGGCGGTCAAGTCAAATAGTCTGGCAGAAGAATGAAGATGGGATCAGTACAAAACTTGTAGTTATAACTATGGTCTTGGAAACCATGAGTGGAACTCAATCCAGACCCTTGCTGGGTGTAGGGAAACCATGTCTAACATAATTCAAATTATATTGTTGGCAGAACATCTCAGAATGTGTCAGAAGAATCTGTGTCTGAAAACAGAATAAGGCTTTTTTTTTTTTAAATTTTTTTTTTAGTTGTAGATGAGCACAATACCTTTATTTATTTATTTATTTGTGTGTGCTAAGGATTGAATTCAGTGCCTCACATGTGCTAGTCAAGTGCTCCACTAGTGAGCTATAACCCCAGCCCCAGAATGAGGCTTTCTGAACAGCAGAAATGTTTCAAAAAGCAGAGTGACGTGGGATGGGGAATGTAGTTCAGGGGGTGAGTTTATGCTTAGCATTCACAAAGCACTGGGTTCAATCCCCAGTACCCAAAAACAAATTAAAAAACCAAACAGCTACCAAAGAAAGAAAATTTAAAAAAAAGCAAGAGTAGACACAATGAGGGCTTGTGGCTCAGTGGAAAAGCATTTGCCTTGCAAGTGTGAGGTACTGGGTTCCATCCTAGAACAACATAAAAACAAATACAGACACTAAGTCCATAC